GGTGTTTTACTTTTTATCTTTGTTCTCCTTTGTGAACCTAAAACGTCCTACAGAGTAAGCCGTGTAAACATCTGCTCCGTGTACTCTACCCTCTGTTAACAAGGTCTTTTCATGGCCTTAAAGAAACGGCTTCAGTGAACCCGGGAGTAAAGTACCCGCCCTTCTAACATAAAAAAGCTTTTTATATTCACGTAGCTTTTTAAAATGCAATTATCCAGGAGAGTAAGTTTTCCGACTGAAACGCGAAAATGGGCTTCCTCGCGCGCTCTACATTTTGCACGTTTTCTTGCAGTTACGCGTGCGTTGAGTACAGTTTGAGTTCATTTGCAAGCTTTGCCATTATAGAAACAGCCGGTTCCACGTTTGTTGTGCTTGCGCAGTCATTGAGATTGCGCGAGACTGGGTCTGTGTTGTGTCGGATTGCACTATGGGACAGTTTGAGGGACGAATTTTGGCCGAGTTTCTCGTGCAACTTTTTAATACCCAATAAAAGAAGAGATTACATCCTTAAAACAGTCCCGTGGAATCCCGTGGTGCAATTCGACACAACACCGTCCCAGTCTCTAACCTTTTCCAGGCTATACGCCACTTGTTCATCTCCCATGATGCACCTTATTTGTCCCCCGAAATTTTGAATAACTTTTGTTTTTCGGCACGCCCAATTTTTATGGTGTGATGGGTGCCCAAATCCTGTGAAGAGGAAGTTCCGAGTACGTCTGGTAGGAGTATCATAATCAAAGTTTCTTTAAAATATTATAGGGATGCAGTTTCCAAATCATTATTCCTATAAACTGGGCTTAACTTGCTACTGTTTTTCTCATTTTTTTTTTCAATTCAAGTAATTATCTTTATTCATTGCTCTCTCAGCAAGTCGAGAATCAGCGTATCTGCACGCCATCACAGCGGCCGGCGTAGCTCACGCTGTCACCGCCTCATGCAGCGCTGGAAATACCGAAAGCTGCGACTGCGATCGTTCGCACAGCGGTGTCACGAATAAGGGTTGGACCTGGTCAGGCTGTAGTAGTAACATCAAGTTTGGCAGCAGGTTCTCAGAACAATTTACCGACGCCAGAGCGAGGGGAAACAGTCCACGAGCTGTCATGAACAGGCATAACAGTAGGGCGGGAAGAAAGGTGGGTGCATCCTTGAAGGTACCTCTTATGTTTTTGAAGGTACCTCTTATGTTTACTTCAAGTTCGGTGGTTGAATATTCCTGTAAGCAATATGCTATCGAGCTGTGTTCAACGAAGTAAGTCATTTTGTAGAACTGCAATAATTCCGCAATGTCAATAACAAACAAAAACCTCCCACTGTGTTAACGTGGCCAGATACGACTGAATTAGCAATGTTCCCCAAGCTTTACAAAATCCAGACTTGTTCGTTTTTCAGAAATGTGGCAACCAAGTCTTTTTGCAATTAATGACTCTTTTCATAGCTGCTTTGGTTTTCTTTTGCCGCGAGTCTCGCATGAATTCTCGCAACCTGTAAAGTTCCATACCTCCTCAAAATCTACGGCGAGTTGCAAAAAGGCTCCATAAACCAAGCTTCATATTAGGACAAAAATTAATTCATGATAAATTGCATGATTCACGCCCCACTCCCCGGCTGTCAAAGTTTCAAGATTCTTAGATTGTATTCTTAATTTGAAATGACAACAATCTTGTTCCCAGGGTCCTCTCCTACTCCGAGGCACGAGTAGGAAAGGACCCTGGGAACGAGGTTGGAAATGATAATTTTCAATGGAAGGAGCGGGAAGAATCTCTTGTTATCGATCATTATGTTACTAGTAATATGAAACAATTTCGTTATTTCAGGCCCTTTCAAAGTTGTTGTGGCGGAAATGCAAGTGCCATGGTTTATCTGGCTCCTGTTCTATGAGAACGTGCTGGATGCAGCAGCCGTCCTTCCATCAAGTAGGCGATTATCTAAGAGAAAAATACGAAGGCGCAGCAGAAATGATTATCAAGCTGAACAGAAGGAAAAAAGAGCGGTTGAAACCCAGATATCCTCAACTGAAACGGCCCACAGAGGCAGACCTACTCTATTATGAATCATCGCCCAATTACTGTGATGCCGACGCAAGCGAGGGATCCCTCGGGACTTCGGGTCGCGAGTGTAATATTTCCTCTTCTGGAATGAACGGATGTGAGCTGCTATGCTGCGGACGAGGTCATAACATCCAACAGACGAAGGTTACGAGAAATTGCAACTGTATTTTTCTTTGGTGTTGTCAGGTGAAATGTCAGAAGTGTAAAGAGATTGTTAACAAGTACACTTGCAAGTGAATTTGCCTTGTGATAACAGACACTGTAGTATGTTTAAGACGTTATGAACAAATGATGGATGTTGTTGACACTATTAAGAATGAAAAGACCCGACAATAGTTTTACAAAAAGCGGTTTTTATGTCGTGAACCACCCTGTACGGATTATTTCATATTTTTGTTTTTCTTTCCTTTCGCCTGGATAAAACCGCGACTATTGTTGTCCCAAACACTGTGTAATGTGGGAGCAGTTTTCCAAAACCTTCGTACAACACTGTTAGCTAGTATATTTAACAATTACTCCTCGAGCCCAACTGGGCTCTGAGTCAATAGCCCATGAAGCCGAAGGCCGAATGGGCTATTGACTCAGACGCCATGAGGACGAGAGGAATAATTGTTTTAGTAAAATCCAACTAGTTGGTCAAAAATATCGAGACAAAACAACTTTACCTACATGTAGCAAAATGCCATTCAGCCACATTATTTTGGTTTTCAGAGCCGGCGCTTTTCGCTATCAGTTGGCTATAACATATAGTCTACTAGAAGCTCAACCAATTAGAAATCAGCATTGATAATAGACCACTAATTGGATTATACTCAAATGAGTTAGACCAGCTTCCCCCAGTACAACTCAACGGAAGACTGGGAAACAATACGAAAAACGAGGAGCGCTGGGTAGTAAGCAGCATGGGTAGGAACGGATTGAGCCAGTTTACAGAAAACTAGTAAGAGCCATCAATGTAGAAGTTTTTGCTCTAATTTACACAATGCCTTCTCTTTTTTCTTCCAAGAAACGAACTAACATTACAGAATCGCTTTCCTCTCAACAAGTACTAAGCTTGTCTCGATAAATGAGAGAGTCACCGAGATCAGATATCTTAGAATTACTTACAAAAATTACTAACATTGCTTCGTATTTATATAGATTGTTTTTATTTTTGTAGAAAGATACGTAAAATACATAGATAGTGTAATATAGTCGTAGCAAGGGGCATGGCAAGTAGGAGCCAACCATTTGTTTTTGTTTAACAGTCGTGTAGGCGACAACGTGACATACTTCAAGCCTTGAGTTTTCGCGGGGTTGATTACTGAGTTAAGTTTTGACCAATGCACTCATCGCGAATCTTATTAACGGATCACAAAAAATTATCCTGAAAATTGAAAAATGTAAGTGTAAAGGTCGATGAAAAATTATAGCTTCCACACTGTTGGTCATTTTTCTACACCAACTGTATTTTCACCTAGTAAGATTACAGACGAATCTGCGTTTCAAAAACGAATAACCCAAACAAAATAGTAATAACATGGTGAAAACAGAATTGAAAGATTGTTTTCGAGACAAATTTTTTCCAGTTACATATAGAATGCGTTAGAAAATGTCACCACGTGAAAAATATTCTTGCCTTCCGTACGGAATAAATTTTTGCAAAACTGTTGTTTCCTATTTAAGCCAAAAGAGAGAGTTTGTTTCTCAGTGAGTTTTTGCGTTTAGCCATTCAAAATCTTGGTATGTATATATATATATCCAAGAAATGCCTGAAGACGGTACCAAGCGCAAAAAAAACGTAGGCGAGTTATCTACAATTAGCTTTGGTTTCAAATTTTGATTGGTCCAAAATTCAGGCACGAAATTTTTAAGCCAATCAGTTAGCATGATTGTCCAGAAACCTTTGGCGTCTTTCTTTTCTTTCTTGTTTCCTTTTTCTTTTTTGGCAAAACTTAACCCCGCGAAGATGTTATTAGATAGTAGCCGGTTGTTGTCACGCATTCATTTCTGAATGCGTGACAACAACCGAACCCCAACGGACGTCTGCGGGGAGGCTAATTAGATAGGGCAGCTTGTACAAATTGTAACATAAAGATGGAGGCACTTTTCTAGGAATAAAAATCCACTGAAAACGACTGAGTTATATAATGAATTCCTGGTAAGTTATTTGCGATGTGTTTCCGTAGTGAAATGCTTCTGTGGTGAAAAATAAGTGGTTAACCCCATGTGATTAGCCAATGCTAAGCATCCTCTTTACCTTCCAAGTCAAATACCCCGGAAAAATCGTTTGTATTCGCAATAGGCCACTTCTGAGTTCCAGAAACCCCCACTTTTTAAAACGAGGCTAAGTTCATAACCCTTCCTGTGAAAATGAGTTTCATTTGCAAGAAAATAAACAATCCTTCTCATATCAATGACCTCGCATTTAGCCTGGCTTTGAAACAGAGGTTTAAGGCAACTTGGAAGGTCGTGCGTGAGACTGGATGGATGTTGTGTCGAATTGCACTATGGGATTGTTTCGGAGGAGCTATCTCTTTTTTCATAGGCTATTACAAGGTTGCGCGGGAATTGGGTACGAATTCGTCCCCAAAACTTTCCCAAAGTGCAACTGGACACAACTCGGACCCAGTTTCCAGCTCAACTTCAGAAGGGCCAGTTAGAAAAAAGAGTAATTTTCGACTGGAGTGTAACGAAATAAGTGGAAAATGTTTTTCTCACACACGCTGGAGGCCTGGGTATAGGTCATGTGACCGAAAGGCGGGCAGTTGCTTTTGCTGCGTCCGCTATTACTGACCTTCCCACCCACCCTAAGATTTCAGGCAACTTCGTAATTTCGTTAGTGTCCCACCTTTCTAGGGGTATGTTATGTGTACATTCTCATAAATTTGGAATAAAGGTCAGGTTGCGGCGGTCGGCTTTGCATGGCTACCAGTGGTGTGTGAGAATCGTCCTTTATCAAAACAGCAGATAGATAGAGCAAAACAAGTTTTATTCTATCAACTTAAAACTAACTGCGTAAATAAAAGCAAAATCGTCCAAAACGTCGTAGTCATGTAGGCAAATCGACCGGCCAACTATATAATATACAATATTTCCCGGTGTTGCTGTAAATTGTGCAATTTCCTCGCCAGCTGATGAATAAAAAAATTGTCAAATTGAAGCCTTTTCCAATGGTGGCCACTGTCTGTGATTCAGTAATATTGTCTTTCTTAACTGAAGAACCTCTTGGCATGAATGCCCCTTGTTCTGGTGAATAAATCCCTCACCGCTCACATAAATCTCTCGTCTTTGTTATTCGGACTTGTTTTTTTCTTTCTTTGCGTTCTTTTCTCGAACTTTCTGCTTCTCTTCAGCAGCTTTCTTCAGTTCTCGTAAATTGAAATCTCGCTCGATGTTAACCTGTTGAAAACAGGAACGGCGTAATTTAGGCACGTTCACCCAAAGGCACTATGCCGGATACGGCTTTTCGTAGCGCCACGAAAAGCCGTATCTCTGCTTTAGAGAAACACTCCGTCACAGAATTCGCACCGCCACAACTTTTCTTGCTTGTATTGTGTCAACAGAAGCCTCACCCGATATGATTTTCGAGGCAGCGAAAAAGCTATACTACATAGCGTGAAGATAGCCTTGCAACTACACAGATCGACAGTGAGAGTGTAGTTAGTCTTCGCCCATGGACGGCAGGAAACTATCGATTGGATTGTAAATTTGTTCTAGTATACGCGTATCTAGTATATTTAACTATTCTGTCTATTCTATTCTGTTGTCAAGTACAAAAACGTTTCCCTCGACCGCTGGGAACTAAAATCTTTTTGCATGCAAATTCTGCGAAAACGTCGCTTTAAAAGGGAATTAGGGCTCTTTCAATCTTCTTCGCGATTATTCAACTCACTAACTTCGTCAAATGTAGGCCAACTCTCCGGGAGTTGAATTCCTAGGAATTCAAAGAGAGGTAAAATTTGTCGTCGCTTGTTTACGTCCTCCATAAAAAAAAAAAATTGAAGATTGTAGTCGTGTAGTGACGGTAAAGAAATGTACAAAAAAGCGTGATGCACGTGCAAAGTTGTTGTTGTACCCATAATACACCTTGTTTACCCCCTAAAAATTTGCACTGGAAAAAAATGCCTTCAAAACATACATACACACCTCAGTAAAAGTGTACGGAGTGACAACAGCTCTTCTATCGACCAGTGGCCTTCGCTTGGTCTCTTTTCCTCCTTCATACAGAACTAAACTTGGAAGCTGTTTAGAAACCGCAGAACTGTCCACTTTGTGTCTGAAATCCAAAAGCAAGGGAGGAATAACAAACCAAAAAACAGGAATTTTCGGAAGAAGTCGCAAGAATCTTTGTTTCTACGCCTTGGGGGGAGAAGAAGGCTGTTCTAACTTAAAAATAATCGTAAGTGAGAGCAGGATGAGTATATCACTAATGTGAAAGTTTGGAAATCAAATCCTCCGTTACATCCTGCACACTTTTGTTTCGACTTTGTTCAAGAACTATCGATCATTTTGAGAAAGCCAAACCTTCGTTTGAGACAAGGACATTAAAGAGAAAGACTTGGTCAAGCGTTACAAACTGCCGTTTTCTGTTTGTCGTAAACGTGACTTTAAAACATTATTTATCGATTTTAAAGCTTTCTACGTGGATAGCTTCCTCTTTCAGTATGTTAAGACTAGTTGTTCCGATCGATTAGAATAAAATTTTCGTTCACCGGTCGCCCTCCAATAGTCACCAAAGACTGGAAAACCCGTAGTCTTTGAAGATATGTTTTAAACATCACTGTTTTAAGATTATTCTCTTACTTTTCTGCAACGATAGGATACTTTCCTACATCAAGCTTTCCAAATCTAAGATAGCTGTGGTTGTATCTGTCAAAAAGATAAAAAATAACAAAAAATGAGGCCCGCAAATAATAGTAGCACAAACCAGAAAAGATTTCGAATATAAACGTTTTTGCAGAATTTGTATTTCTTTAATTTGTCCGAACGCAGGTAAGATTTCCTCAGCTGATTTCCTCGGAAAATAGAAAATTTTAGTCGGCCACCAAGAACTTTACGAAGCTACTACGACAACAACGGGAACGGGATCGTCTATCAATCGATAAATCTTCGTTAAACAGACCAGTGTCTGTATAAATGTATTACCTCAGAGAAAGTTCTGCAAACGTTGGAGCAAATCTCACACAAGGAGGACACCAAGGAGCATAAAATTCAACCAGCCACGTGACAGATGGGTCCTCTCGTAAAGCATCCTGGAATTGGAAGAAAAGGGAAGTGTTATTCGAATTTTCAAAATTTTAATTTTCTTACCCATAGAGTGGATGAAGGGGTTTTGTACGGTGGTTCTAACTTTTGAGTCTGTGTATGAAATACTATGGTGTGACCATTCTAATGAAAGCTACTGAGCAGCACTTTCCTGTGGTACTGTTTATTATGCTGTACAAGGTGGTTCTAACTTTTGAGTCTGTGGATGAAATCCTATGGTGTGACCATTCAAATGAAAGCTACTGAGCAGTACTTTCCTGTGGTACTGTTTATTATGCTGTACAAGGTGGTTCTAACTTTTGAGTCTGTGGATGAAATCCTATGATGTGACCATTCAAATGAAAGCTACTGAGCAGTACTTTCCTTTGGTACTGTTTATTATGCTGTACAAGGTGGTTCTAACTTTTGAGTCTGTGGATGACATCCTATGGTGTCACCATTCCAATGAAACCTTTCTAGCAGTGCTTTCACATGGTATTATTTGTTTTTCTGTATTTTACAACAGGGACAATTTTGGGACCATTTAGGCAGACACACACTGCCATTGTGGTCATTGAGAGATTTTAATCTCTAAACAAGAGAGAGAGTGAGGCTGCCACAGATGCAAGGGTACTCACTTCCCAAATCAAGTCCCATTCCCCTCACTCTCGATTTTAATTTGACCTGGGAAGAGTGTCCTGTTCGTAGGTGGATACTAAAAGGGCCAAAGGTTTTAAGTTCATGGAACTGTCAAGTCTCACAATCTCTAAATAAAGTTCTCACACACCACAGCCATGGACAGCAAAAACTGCCGGGGCCAAAGGTTTATAAGTTCTTGGAACTGTCAAGTCTCACAATCTCTAAATAAAGTTCCCCCAGCCCCCAGCCCCCAGCGCCCAATGGGAATGACTTAGGACATTATATGACGTCTTACATGAGCGGGAGATTTATGTACCAAAGCGGGAGAGCAGGAGACGAGGCAAAAAAGGGTAAGTCTCCGGCCAAAAGCGGGAGAGTTGGCATCACTGGTATCCTGACATTTATTCCAAGTTCATAAAAATTTACACATAACATACTCCTAGAAAGGTGAACACTAACAAAATTACAAAGTCGCACGTTACATTTAAACAGTCTACAAAACTGAAATCTTAGGGTGGGTGGGTGGGAAGGTCAGTAATGGTGGACACAACAAAAGCAACTGCCCGCCTTTTGGTCACACAACCTATACCCAGGCCCCCAGCAGTGTGTGAGAAAACATTTTCCACTTATTTTGTTACACTCAGCCAAAGGAAAATTACCCTTTTCATTAAGTTTACAGACTGTCTGCCAGCACAAAAAAGTACACATTGCAGAGAAGGGGTGTTTAGCAGAGATCCAGATGTACGGTTGAACATCATCCCACCATTATGTTCACAAACTGTTAAGGTTAGTTGAATTGTTCTGAGTCTCCACTTTGTCAAACTCACACTAGGGCAGTGTATCTCTTTTTTTTTGTTTGAGTTGATATGACTATATCTATTAACCTTGTTGAGGGAAAAGGATAGTCAATAGTGGTTATCCACTTTATCATAACAAAGTTGTCCAACATGTCATAAGGCTACTCCTTTAGCGGCGTTCACTTGTTCAAAAAATGAGCAGTTCCTTAATTGGAAGCTGGAATAGAGGCCATTGCTGTAAAAATCATAAGCATTAAGCACCCATACGGGCTCCTTGTTTTAAATTTTAGTCACCCACGAACAAATCGTAGGAGCCTCTGGCAACCAGGCGCTCTTTAGGCAGCAACTTTGCCTTGTATATGTTATGCTTACTAAATCAGTAAATAAATAAACAAATAAATAAAATGCTTGCTTACATCAAGAGCAGGGCCTCTAAAGAAGTGTACCTCATCTGGACCACTGTAAGATGGCTCAGGAAATAACAAAAAAAGAACTGAAAATACAACAAGAAAATACGTTAAACTTCTTATAACAGCAGTCCCTCACAAATCCCTTTTAAAATATATGCCTGCATCAATGGCTAATCCAAATTTAAGATTTTGGGGGGTTTGAAATCAATAATTCTGGGATTTTTTGGGGGTTAGGAAATTTTGACTAGTATTTTTTTTGGTAGATTTACCAAGAAAGTTGCCTGTGTTACAGCTGGACTTGTTGCCCAAGACCCAGATAGAGAAGTTGATATAGTCCGTCTGTCTATAGGATTTAGACTGTCTGTGTCGCAGGCTACAAAGGAGTTGTGTGCGTATTCCAGAAGAGAGGAGATTCAAGTAAAAAGATGTTACGGTATGAACGGCTATGGTTATATTGCACATGCACACTGGTCATTTTGATTCTTGGTATTCCCCAAATTGCTTTCTTTCTTGACATTTGGCTTAGCATTTTTGTGGGTTTAATAAAATTTAGTTTAGGCAAGTAGAAGATTTTGTTTTGCCCCTCCAGTCCCCATTAACTGAAGCTCATTGATGTAGATACTCACCTAAACAAAGGATAAGGTATAAAAGACCAAGCCTGAGGTCTGATCTTGCAAAAAGTACAAAATTGGCAATTTTACTAAACATGAACACCATAGAAGCTGCCTCTTGCCATGTGGCTGGAAACAAATAATAAATACTCAGTGGTTTATAAGAAAGTGGTTTATTGGCAATGCATGGACATCTATTTGAACTCCAACTGCCACCTAAGAAACTCCCAATCCCCATGTGAATACCACTTTTGGCATCATCATTTTTTAAGTCTTAGACAATGTTGATGTGTAACTTGTGTAAGGGAAAAGATCTTTAAAACCACACCCGAATGAGTGTGACTCAGTCAAACAGGCCAGGAAAAATACAAAAACTAATGTAACTTTAGCTAGAAATTTCTGTTGAAAATCTAACCTTCACTAGCCACCTAAACCTTATTCAAAATAATCTCACAATCCTTTTCATTTCTGCAAAGCTGCTCCCCACTAAAATGAAGCCTAGTACAGCCCCATGAAAGAAATTTTGCTCAAAACTTTGCTTACATTACAATGTACATATTTAGTTAAATTCAATTTGGTTACATACTTGGCCAAGAAAAACCACGAAAAAAGTTTTAGACAGTGTTTTGCTACCAATTGATAGCAATGTCACGGTAAACGATCTTTATTCTACAGTGTACAATTATTTCAAGAAACCATGATTTATAACTACCTGGTTTCCACTTGCGGTTCTTGACAGCCAGGACAATTGCTAGAAAGGATAACAGCTCAACGTCCCTCTGTTAATATAAAGTTGGAACAGATCATTAGTGTGATTCAAAACACAGACTTATTAAATCCCAACACTGCCTTTGGTGGCTTTATGACCAAGTCCCAGAGGAGCAAGGGTAATCAGTGGTAAGAGTAATTCTCCCCCACCAAATTGTGGCCCACGTTCAAATCCCGGCATGGACACCACGGGTTGAGTAAACTTCTTGTTGGTTCCCTCCTTTGCTCTGAGAGGTTTTTCTCTCCGGGTAGTCTGGCTTTCCACTCTCGTCAAAAACCAACATGGACAAATTCCAATTCAACCAGGGATCAGGTAGACAAAGAACTACTTAGTAGATGTGCTACCTCTAAATCATTAATTATTTGTTTATTCATTTATTTATTCAAGTCCTATCGTATAAACTTTTGTGAGTGATGTAAGAAGTCATTGCCAGCATCTCCAGGCAGTTCAGACCACAGGATTGTTCAACAATTACTCAAATCAAACAAGTAACACCAGGGGAGGCTGGACAGTGGGCATTTTGGGGGGGAGGCAGGGAGAGCTCAGTGATAAGAGCACTAACCTCCCACCACATGACCTAGGGACATACCTTTGACCCCACTCCCCCACAGGGCCCACAGAAGTGAAGTACAGGGATTGTGAATAATCAAAACTAGGGAAATGGCTCTGCTGCAGATTAACTTTGGATATATCTTAGGATACTTTGTATAAAGTTTAGATCCCAGAATACTCTAATTTGGCCGAGTTTCTGCAGGAAAATGAGGTCATCTTGACTTAACCTTCCCCACCCATGGCTTCGGAAGTCTTGTACGATTCAGTGTGAATGAAATCCCTGTGCAAAGATTTAACCTTAGGAAACCTTGATATTTAACGCAATGAAAGTTTTGACCACTGCATTTTATGTTCAATCGCTTGAAAGATTTTCAATTCCTTGGTGATGGACAGTGGGTGATGTTTAATACGAAAGAAAAGTGTCCAAATTGTCTATTTAAGTCACTTATCTTATGTACGCTGTTTTAAATGAAGCGTTAAATCTTCTTCTCCTTCATTCGATAAAGAAGAAGTTTTTCGTGATAGAACCTTTAGGAGTTTAATGAGCCATTGTAGTAATACAGGCTTAAGCTTATATTAACTCACTCACCCACGAGATTTGGCACTCTTCATCGGGGAAAAGCCATTCACAAAATGGTGGAAATACCTTGAGCACCACGTACAATAAACACGCCAGTGGATTTAGAATATAATGGCCACTAAGTAATGGGTTAAACGTGTCTAACTTCATCGTTTGGGAACCGTACTATGCGTAGATTTTTTCAGAATACCTTCCGTGGATTTAGATATTTCTGATATTTTTACTCCAGCTGAGAAATATTGGTGTCACTTTCCAAAATTACCGCTGAACTAAAATATTTACAAGAAACCGAGAGGTTCCTGGTGACTAGGATAAAGGATCAACGAGCGGCAACCGCGGCTCTGCGGCGCTCATTAAAATTCGTTAATTCTTTGTTTGTTTGTTTGTTTGTTTTTGTTTTCCTTTATTGTTTGCAGCACCGTAGGAAAAAAATCTGTGAGTGGACGGGGAGGGGGAGAGGTATTGGGCAAAAGCAGCACCTTTGGCCGAAGGGCTATGCAGATCAATCGGGCTGCATCACCCCCTCCCCCGGGAGGTTTGGGGACACGGTCCCTCGTAGCCAGTCCCCAAATAAAGACAGCCACGACAACTTTCGCGCTAGTGCACTTCTTGGGTCATACAGCGGTAGTCACAGCAAATGCTCGATAATCAGTGGTCGGGTTTTAAAAAAGCCGCACGTGAAAACATGTGACTTCGAAACGACAGGAGGAGACCTCCTGGAAAGGGGTATTGTGCACGCTACATGCGCTTAAAATATTGAAAGAAAAATGCTGGTAGCCCAAAACATCATTTAATGGGAAATAAAAGGGACTGGACAGGCAGGGCAGGCGTACATGATGTGGGTGATGAGATTGGTACATAGATCGACTAGCGGACCACGCATGCAAATTATTGGGCTAGAATTTATTAAGTTATTTTGAAGTTGAAAAGAACTTCAAAGCCTAAGTTGTTACTTTCAGATTTTAACGTATTTTCAAGACGATGTTAGTTTAATAAGGATTTAAAAATTCTACTTAACTGATAATAGTTCTAAGGGTTTGCAAAGTGAAAGTGGTGTTACTGCTTGCCAGGAGTAATGGGCTCCCTGTGCAGCGCTATATAGGCAATGAAAAACATCTCGCTCCAAGGGCCCTCTCCTACTCGTTCCCCGGAGCGTCCAGAGGGCCCTGGGAACGAGTGTGATTATTCTGGAGGAAATGCAAATGTTCTCATATACGTCCTACTTCTGGTCTCTGTTTCCAGTTAACGGTAAATGAAGTCATGACTTAAAAGACAAAGAAAAAACATGGACACGGGAGATGAAGATATGACCTTCCTTGATGATGTCACGTCGCATCAGAATAGGCTAGAAGTTCATGTAGTCAGTGAGACTGTAAACTCAGTTATCACCATTGGAAAGTTTTCTCATCACTGGAGATAATTCTTTCTCCCTTTGCGCCTTCTCTTCTGCTGATAAGAACTTGAAGCCTTTAAACAATTTTCCATTCCGCAGAGACAGTTGAAAACACCCGCCATCTCGTACTCAGTAGTCGTGTAATCAAAAGTTATATCCTCTCCTTTCTTGATGTCACGTGTGGCCACCAGATGCCAAAAGATTTTGTGGTCTTTATCAAAGCCCATGATTTCATCCTCCTTCAGGCGTGGTTCATAAACGAACTTGGCATTTGGATTGCAGGAATGGTTAGTGCGTTTTAACGGGCCAACAGGATCCACGTGTTTATTGACATCCACTTGAATAGTGTAGGGTGTGGCCTGACTCACCACTGGTCCCCAGACATCAGCTAGAAACGATCCTGCCAGGATATTTTCTTTGGCTACCAGAGATAGGAAATCCTTTGTCACTTCAATGACCTCAACATTATCGGCCTGCATCTGCAGACATAATTGAAATATCTTCGATGTTAGTTCCTAATAAGCGCATTCAGCAAATTTGGTGAGGAGCATATAATTCTAAGGAATTCCCATCTTTTAGACATTTTTTCCCAGTAAGAGTTTGGGGGCAAACAAGGCAGCAGAAAATATTTCTTGACATCCACTATTCTACCTCCCTAGGTTTAAATCACGGCTCTCCTTTCGTGGCTCAGTAGCCTGCTCTGGCCACATTGAGTGATTATGTAAAAAAAAAAGCCCCATTATCGATGGGCCCTAAATTTCAGTTTTCTAAGCCCTATGTTTCAGTAAATTGTACTGATTGTCCTACCAATTTTCGAAACATTTAATTGACTTTCCAGGAGCTTTCTGAGTGCATGTAGAATGCATGCAACTGGTAACTAGCCCCGGGTAACTAGCGTGAGTTCGTCGAGCTCTCGCTTCATATTTTCCAGTACTGAATAAATTCATCGATCATAAACGCTTGCTAAGGAAGCAGACTAGAGTATATGTAACAAAGGGATTGAGCTTAAATCATTTGGAGAAAAAAATTAACAACAACAAACAAAAAAACGAGCACTATGAAATGCTGCCTACTCACATTTAGTTAATCATCAGTCTCCTTCTACAAAAATCACTGGAGGATGATCCAAGCCTTTGTCGATATAGTTTACAAGCACCTGTCCAAAAAAAAAAAAAACTAAGAAGTATGCTTTTCACTCTTACCTATAGCGAGTATTTTAAATCTCTAAAAGCTTGGACACTTGTCTGCTGTACGTAGCAGCAAAATGACTAATAATCTCAAATCCTCAACTTATATCAGCATAAGATCGGGTCAGTACTTTTACTGGCCTGATGATCTAGTCAGCTGATTTTTAAAATTAGAATGTCTTAGATTGCAAAAGAAACAGAATACCTCTCTACCCTACGGGGGGGGGTATTTCAAGAAAAATTGGGTGAGGGTGTGCGGCACTCTTCCTGAAAGCGTTACCCTATTTCAGACCAAACTCTGTGAATTTCCCTACCCTATTTCAGACCTGATCAAAAATTTGACCTGTCGTGACCTGACGCGTGAACAAGCGCGTGACAAGCACGTACACTGTTGGCGTAAACATTAAAAGGGAAATAGTCTCATCGCCTAATGATGAAGAAGTAGCCTCTTCAAAAAACATACCCAATTCAAGGCTAGAGAACACAAACCATACCCTATTTCAGACCAAAATGGCTAAAAAACCATAACCGTTGGCGCCGGACATACCTATAAAGCCTACGGAGTACCCCCGGGCTCTTTACAAAAGTTATGGAGGGCTAATCTACACATATTTTTCTCTCTTCCTGGCAAGCACCAGGCTAAAAACAGAAAAATTTGCATTTCACTTACCTAAAGGGTGATTCTTTAAGCTTTTAACTAGCACACTCGTGTGATTTCAGATCCCCAACTTATATCGGCATAATATCGGTTCAGTACTTTTACTGGCCTGTCTATAAATTACAAATGGTCATACAAACCACAGGTTGCCCAAGCTCAAAATAAGAGCATCGACATTGTTGCGTAACATTCGAATATAAGGATTTGTATGGAGAAAAAACCTATCGCTTCTGTAACCTACAAAAATGAAAGGATTTCAATAAAAAACAGCTTACCTTACATAAAATGTGTGTTACGTCTCTCCTGTGTGGTCCGTGGGTCGATTTATGGCCGTTTTATGGGAAGTGCTGTAAACGATTTTCTCTCTATAGAGCGTTTTCACTCACGTGGCCAGCCTCGATGCAAATTTATCAGATTTACGGGAACAAAGAAAGCGTTTACATAAGAAAAGAGTTCAACTCCCACAGGATTGGTTTGGGACACCAACATGGCCGCCGGTTCATTGTTTTGGGACACCAATATGGCCGCCGTGACGTCATGTGACGGTAACCTGTGCACAAACATCATTGTTTGGGTCGCTTATGGTGTCATACACTTGCAAATTGTGCAACATGGCATTGTTTGAGCCCAGACCAGGGGCTGATGAAATAATCAAACTTTAATTTTATAGGTGTAAATTACCAGTTTAGCTATTGTTTTCAGACTCTTAAACAATACTTGTGAATATTACTTTTGTGAAAGTTCTGTTTATTCAGTTGGTCAAGCCAGTACCGGCATTAACTACCAGCAGTCGTTCAGTCTAACAAGAAGTCACTCGACGCATATTCAACCTAGCGCTCGCCATGACTATTGTCTGTTTAGCAACTTTCCGAGAGCTTGGAAAAAATGGAATCTAATCCCCTCTACGACAAGAGAAGAAAGTCATTCAGACTGTTGCAAATGCCTTTGGTATAATTTTCAACTTTATCTTATAGTTCTTTTTTCTCGTTTTGTTTTCAGTTGTCTCCTTTTCGATGCGAGAGCGTTTAACTGTGTGCAACTGAAGTAGAAGCAGAAGGCTAGTGGACCACCTGCTGGTGTGCCATTGCATGACAGCGAAGCAGACACCCATCAGACAAACCTATCATCAGTCATTTGCCATAAAATCCCGGGGCACTACATATTTTAAGGACTTGACAAACCTGTGCCATGGCCGGACAGTCTCCTGGAAAAGTTTAGGGTTTGAGTGGCACGTCCGTCTGCACGCGGTGAGGGCGGGGATCCCCAGCCGGGGGGTACTAAGCAGAGTTTTATAAGGGGCGGCTCCGCCCCGAGGTCCAACCCCTTACCCTTTTATACACCACTTTTGACAGGAAAGGTACCCCTTTAGTGTACCTTCTATGGACAAATGGTACCCCTTTCACTTACCAAGTTTAGAACTTTGCATCCCTTTAAACTGCTGCAAATGCGCTGTCTTTTAAATAACAACAACTTTATTGACTTTATCTTCGACATGACGACTTCAGTACCAAAACAATCAATATAATTACAAATGAAACAAAGTGAAATAAAAGTTACGCAGGAAAGAAAGGAACAACAACAATATATTGAATATTAACATAAAAAGAAAAATTACTTGGCTAAGTACGGCTTCTACGCTACTCGTATGGTAAGAAAGTTTATAAATTAAAGTTCAGATTTATAACAATTTAGAATATTTTCAATATAAGAGGCACTAAGATTTATGATGTTTTCATCGCACATAGACATGATATATAACAATAGTGCCTTGTAAGACATATTGGTGAAATTACTGTTTGTCGAGTATAGGCTCTCCAAGAAGATACCCCTTATATGAGAAAGTGATGAGTGAATACATTTCAACAAATAGTGCAATTCATCACCAAGGGATCTATTACAAAGGGGGCAAAGCCTCTCAACTCTGGGCATCTTCTTGTATAGCCCAGATTCAACGAGTAGCAAGTGGCACGAAATTCGCATTTTGGCTACTGCCACTCTTGTCTTAACGTTCTTTATTAAATCAAGGTAAGATTCAAATCTGACTTCGTTTTCAGTTCACTATACAGACTTAATTTATTTCCAACTGAGGAGTCGAATTTATCCTTGTTCAAATTTTTCGACCAATATTCCTGGTATTGTTTTAACAAATTTCTTTTAAACATTTTAACCAGGTGAGGAATTCTCCTGTAGTCAAGATGGGGCAGATTTGGAGTGTAATCACTTAATTTAGTAAAGTGTAATAGATGCCTTACAGTAGTAAACCATGAATGCTTACCTACATTATTTAAATGGATGAATAAATATAAGCCCGGACGTTTTCTCGACTTTTCCCGGCCATGAAATGCATATGTAAGCTCTTTTGGCCTGTATATACGCCGGTATGACAGATTTCCCTACGCTTTCATATACTTCATTTAGTGAAATCCATACCCTTTGATGTAACTGAAGCCTGAAAAAGGTACGTACCTCTTTCGGGCGGAGCCTCCCCGTATAGGGCCACAGGATGGAGGTTAAATCCGGGTTTTGGGACCCAGGAGAAGTCCGGGTTTTGGGCCCAGAAAAAGTGCCCCCTTCCCCTGAATAGGGCTGAACAAGAACGTCCAAAACACAATAGACCTTCTTACCGATACGGCGGCCATATTGAATTAATTAGATTTAAGTAGTATTATGGGATGCTAGGAGCCGGTTGCATGAGCACGATCCGATATACTGGCTCAGTATTTACGCGCGCTTTTCGGGCCAATTTTTTTTTTAGATTTCTTACAAAAAGATTCAAATGGGAAAAAAAGATCGTTGTGCCGTGTTTGGAAGTAATATTAAATAATCGCATTTTTCCCGAGAAATATGCATTGAAGTTCTCTTTTTGCCCGAAAAGGGCGCATAAATACTGAACGACTGGCCCCTGGGCATCCCATAATACTCCTTGAAATCTAATAAATTCAATATGGCCGATGATCGGTAAAAAGGTCCATTGGTTTTGTTAGCAAAGCAACAACTCTGCATTTGCAGCACGCTTTTTTTACAAACTTCTTTGCAGTCCCTGCACAACTACGACGTGGAACGGCAAGGCGAAAAATTTTACCATCTCTCTCAGGCTAAAGTCAAAAGCGGTCGACTCTCTTCAGTTGCGACCTAACATCCCTACTTTCAAGTAACTGGGTGACTTGATATAAAGGCGAATAAGTTTAAAAGGAAGCGAAGTCTATTTTTTAGCGAAGTTTTCATTGGCGTCGCCGGATCGTGGCCTTCGAGAGCGAAGCAACAACAGCAAGAGCAGCAACCCTATCTAAGATATTCAATCGTTAAATCGCGTTCGAGTCCCTTTAGTTTGACAACCCTTTTTCTCTTAAATACTGACAAGGACAGGCGTTAATTAAACTGTAATTTTAGTGCCTTTAATTTAATAGTGACAATAGTGGTAAGTTCTACTTTGAAGCAGTCTCAGTTGTAACCATCAAGTTTAGCCAAACTAAACGTGTGGTCGAAACTTTTTACTCGGAAAATAAGTTTTAAATTCTCCCCTTCAAACACAACCTGCCAGGTTGGCCGCGATTTAAGGAAATGGATCTGATGACGTCACCACAGGAACCTACATCCAAGCATATATTGCCCACTTTAGTTACTATAAGGGAAATGGGAACAAGCTTTCGGCACAATGATCTCTAGGATCGCTTTGGTGGTGAAGCCTTATTCATGATTGGTAAATGGTTGCCTTGGATACCAGCGACCAATCATAACTAACGTTTGTCCACCTAAACGATTCCAGATATTACTACACCAAAAGCTTTTACCTATTCTCCACGAATTTCTTCCCGAATTAACGTCACAAGTGGATTAAATTAGGACCTATCGAGTCTCTATGAGCACTCCACGACCAACCTTAAATAGTGTGGCAAAAATCGAAGCCTACAAAGGATTTTTTTCAACGCGTTATCGTGTTCAATGCTTACAAAAGACTGTCTAGCACTGCTCAAATAAGACTATTTGAAAGTTTTCTCATCACTGGAGATAATTCTTTCTCCCTTTGGACCTTCTCCTCTGCTGATAAGAACTTGAAGCCTTTAACTTCACCCAAACAATTTTCCATTCCGCAGAGACAGTTGAAAACCCCCGCCATCTCGTACTCAGTAGTCGTGTAATCAAAAGTTATATCCTCTCCTTTCTTGATGTCACGTGTGGCCACCAGATGCCAAAAGATTTTGTGGTCTTTATCAAAGCCCATGATTTCATCCTCCTTCAGGCGTGGTTCATAAACGAACTTGGCATTTGGATTGCAGGAATGGTTAGTGCGTTTTAACGGGCCAACAGGATCCACGTGTTTATTGACATCCACTTGAATAGTGTAGGGTGTGGCCTGACTCACCACTGGTCCCCAGACATCAGCTAGAAACGATCCTGCCAGGATATTTTCTTTTGCTACCAGGGACAGGAAACCCTTTGTCACTTCAACGACTTCCACATTATCGGCCTGCATCTGCAAATGACATTAAAATACCTTCGTAGATTTTCAATTCGTAAAAGGTGATATCTTCTACTTAATTTTGAGACAGTTTTTTAGGATAATTAATAAAAGCGAAGCTATAGATAACATTTATAGTTTGTTCAAACAAAATATAAAATCGTGTAATGCCGAAGGTGATATTACACGGGAAGAGTCGCATTTACACATTTACACATTTTGAAGAACAACTCAGCAGCAGAAAACTGCACAGACGTTAGACTTCTCCAGGTTGCTAATTTATCGATATTCTATAATATTTGAAATTCTTGGCTTTAGACGGTTTTGATTTTAGTTTTCGATGGCATGAAAGTGAAAACCACCAATACAGGGATAAGAACCTCGGCTGAGGCAGTTATCTGCGTATTATCAGGTTTTACTTCGCACAGGTTTTGTTGTTCGAACACTTTTCGAACGACGTTTTCCGCCATTTTTCCATCGCCTTTGATATCTACAAGAGTCTTTCAATATAGCTGTACACTGCTATTATAGTCTGGTTACGTGTGTGAGGTGTATTGTCGTGTAGGGCGGAGTGTATGCAAATAAGACTTCTTGCTGGCCCTTGATGTTTCAGTGAATGTAATGACTGAAAACAACCCGCTGCAGACAATCCACAACATTTAAGAGTTTTCTGAGTAAAAGTTAGAATCGATAAAAAAGTGATGGCTCATTTGGGGCCGACTTTTAATTGAAAAGAAACGACTTTGCCCTTATCAGGGGTCCAGGTGCATAGAAATACAGCCTCGGCTTCCATGTCGGACTCTCCTTGCCGTCCCCTTTAACAGACTTAAGTCTACACCGTCGTTTTTCCCTAACTTAGAAGTAGCTAGGCCAAACAGGAACAAATTTTATGAAGCGACGTTTTTCACTCACCATATAAAGGATGCTTCTTTTTTAGTTTTCAGCACTTGACTTATGAAAACACCCGACGTGTGATTGTTTTTAACAACCAACTTTCAAACCTTACTCCGGATCAGTACTTTTACTGATTTAATTAGAATATTTAGATTTCGTAACAGGTGCTGTACCGTTCATTATTGGATTAGAGGGCTTAACCAACGGCACCGGCGACAGCGACTTCAGAACGGCAAAAAGCAATAGGTTTATATTGGCGAAACAAAGTGCAGCATGCTTTTTTGTGCATTTCTTAGGCCTGGTTCAGACGCCGCTCCACTCGTGCCGAACCTAACTGATGAATTAAGTACGGCAAAAGAGCGACGTCTGAATCAATTTGGTACAGCAGTGCGGCAACAGCGTTTGGTACGGCAAAAGTTCGACAGAGTCTGTCGAGCCTTTGTCGAACTTAACTTAGGCTCATAACCTGAGATCAGGCTCAATTTTCGTTTCGCTTTGTAAATAACATTCCGGCGGGCAAGGCGCAACGAAAAGAGAGCCCCAATTTTAGCGGTAGAGAGAATGAGCATTAGAATCGCTAAAATTGGGCCTGATCTCAGGTTACTATACGAGAGGTTCCGTTAATATGGTTAAAAAAGGAACAAGACTACTCAGTTTTATGACCAATTTTCCCGCAAAACACGGCACGATATGTCTGAAAACCAGCTTGCTGAGCCATTTACCATGTTTAAATAAAGTTGATTGAATTGAATTAAATTGAAAACAAGCAAGGCATCTGGGAGTTTAAAATACAATACAGGGGATACCACTGGAAATAGGCGAAGCGGAACTTTACCCCCTCCCACTCCTCGCTTCCCCCCCCCCGTTCCTACGCCATTTAAAATTGTTATATTATACGTTGGTGGAGCTGGTCAAACCGGTTTATGCGTGGCGGCCAACTAAAAATCGTGATTTTCGTGCTAATGCCGATAGACTGTTACACAAGAGGTAGCAAGAGGCAACACTGAGAAGTAGGAGTGAAAAACTGGGAATTTTTTGTATTCGAAAAACTTTTGACCGAGCAAGGAACGCGTAAAAGCGTTAAGTACAAACATCAACAGGGCTAAAAATGCAAATAGTTTTCTACTTAAGATGAAAACATTTGCATAGTGGACAATTGAGAGCCAGATTAAAACACATTTCTGCGTGCGTTACTCATCAGGCATTTTTTGCAGTCACATTTCGCCTTCCGAAGAGTTCTTCTATGAAAATAAGGAGTTCCTTAAGAATCTAAGCATGATAATCGTGATAACAAGAATCTCCTGTTATATACAAAGATGTTCACAAGATCAAAGATCTTTGTATTAGACCGTGGGTCAACGACCAGATACGATATTCTGCATGTACGCGTAGCTTTTGTGAGACCACGCATTAGCTACTTTACAGGTATTAAACATGAAAGTAAGAATTAAAAAATAACTAAAATATACACAAAATAACTAATTAAAATGATAAAATGTAGAACTAGAGAATTTCAGAATGAATTTCACAAATAACATGAAAGTTATACAGATTATACAGTGCGATAGACGGGTATAGTAGTTCTGTATGATCGATGAGTCGGGTATTAAATTCCAGAGTTTTGGTACCGCAAACCGCCACGATTTTAGGCCATAAGTTAAAGTGTTGGCCATTGGCCGCTTTAAACTGTCATTTCCCATGAGATCGTGTTTACTGTTTAAGTCTGATCTGTTGTTTAATGCTCATTGGTACATTTTCAATAAACCAGAGCCCTTTTGTACCCGTTATCTGCTCTGCACGCAACGTTTTTGGACGTTTCTAAAACCGTCCACATTCTAGATCTTTTACGTGTTATTGCCTGGGTTTACCATGCCACATTTAGTCAAACTCGTTCAGTACATCGTACATGCAACTTCGGCCAAGTTACGTAACAGACGGTAAAACCGGATTGACTACCGGTTATTCAACAAGCTTATATTCTATGCTATATTTAACGTAAAATTTGTATAGAATCTAACTCGTTAAACTACAGTCCCGGTTGCAAAGTTAGGCCAACTTTTGTCCTCCATCCATCGATACAAGTACCATATTTAGAAAACTGTGCATTCGACGAAGATGCGAAAAGAACATGACCGGTTTGCTCTGGCTCAACCACCCGACGCGCGTTACAACATTCTTAGAAGCCGGAGACTGAGACAAAAAGAGTTTTTTTTCGCTTACCTTTTCGTATTTTAGTGCTTTGAAATACACTTATCAACCTTCAATCAAGATGATCACCGGCTTAAAGTAAAGGCTCAACTCGGAGAAATATCGAGGGATGTGATTTTACTGGCTTATTGTATCAGCTGATTATGCGAAACCAATACTCTAACATTCAATAGGAACAGGTTGTGTCCACGTGAATCAGGCGTAAACAGGGTTGGTCTAGGGCGTGATAAGGGGCTTGGCATGGGAGGACCGGAGGGGTCAACACTTATTTCAAACAGCGACTTATTTTTAAACTGGGACCTAACATTTGAATACCTAGTCTGAAATGACAGGGGCACCCAACGAGAATATAGTTCAAAACCACTTAAACACAGCATTGTTAAACGTATTTTAGTATTTAAACGGTAGATATAGGCATATTTTTATCCCCTAAAAATTTTTCATCTGTTCGGATTTCCTAGCTGAAAGTCTAATGATCCGAATATTATAGGGATCAAAACTTACTTTTTCGAAAATTTCAGCTAGAAAAAAAATTCTAGGAGACCTTTTTAGGGTAAAAATTCGTTAAAAATGGGCAATTATAACAATTTTTAGATGTTCGAAAATCCTAGGAGAGGCAGGCAAGCATGAAATATTACAACAACTGCGCCGAAAATTCTATATCTCAAATCGTCTTCCGAACAGATATTTTCCGAAAATTGACGTTGGATGCCCCTGAAATGACGACATTTAATTTTACCCGAAGCATAAAACAGATATTATAGACAGGCTGTACCAGACGATAGGAAAGAAGGGACCGATGTGTCCACCGAGTGTCTACTCAAAAGTACCATATTATTGGGACAGTGGAGGCTATGGAATCTATACAAACCAGTTTAACTGCAGTTAAATTGTAAATATAGTGGTTTTCATCAGTACTAATCAATTAGCTAAATGTTCAACATAGGTCTACTTCTGAAAAGTGTCCAAATAGTCTAGTTTCGAATTAAAAATCACCGCTAAATACAAACATTAACGACACATTCTCACAGAGTTTATATCCTCGACATAAAGTAAAATATTCAGAAATTCCGGCAAGTAAGTGTTTGAAATTTGAATTTAAACAATAGATAGAGTAATAAACAGGTCTTTGTCTCGTTGGAATTTGTGAATACACTACTTCAGATGGAGGCTAAGCCTGTAAAAAATGCGTCTTCACTTCTGTAATTCAGCGGTCATATGGAACTCGAAACTGGACTATTTTGACAACCTGTGAGAGTTTCCGGTGTAAAAGTCGTTAGAAATATCAGCATGAGGTTGTTCATTCTTTTTGCGTCATGGTAGACCTAAGGTAATTCTTGATTCTTCTTGAGGCACTGTAAGAGCTTTTACTCAAAGCATTTGTGGCAGGCATAACTAATATCAGTTTCACTAAAACTGTTGCAGTCTCACTGATTGAAGCAACGCCATTTGCATTAAGAAATTCTATCATGGATGACACAGAGGCTATGGAACTTTCTTGAGCATGCTTTTTCAAAATAGTAAGCTGCGTTTCAAGACGTTCCCTGCTTATATGTGAACCATAAAAGTTTCAGGTCGATAATGACTCACTTAAGAAATGGCCTCCAGAAACTGTCTTGAAAAGCATGTTTTGGAGATTCGTATAGATTTTTTATTGTAACCTGGTTGATCAATCTAGACTAGATCCCGTTCATTAACAAGTCCAAGGCTTCAAAATATATGCCAATTTGACAGATGGCGCGAGAGATCACACCGCCATTGTCATAACCAGGTAGCTGGTTAATGACGTGTTACTTGCGTCATTGATGCGTTAGTATGACGTCACTGCATTTCATGCCTAATGCTATCACTCTTAAGAGTTTATTACATGGGCCAACTGTTTATTACATTTAGACTTTCTGCAACTCTCATTAGATATTTGCAAATGTTAGCTAATTAACAATTATTCCTCGAGCCCGAATGGGCTCTGAGTCAACCGCCCATGAGGCAGAAGGCTAATTAAAGCTAGTTAAAGCTAGTTAAAGCTAGACTTTAATCCTTTTTTGCCGCCAAAAAGCCTGCGCTTTTCGCTACTAGGGGGCTATAACATACAGCCCAGTAGTAGCTCAACCAATCAGAACACAGCATTGATAATAGAACACTAGTTTGATTTTACTACGTTTCTATCTTGACGTTTTGAAATGCCAAGAACTCTTTACGCAGGTGACATTAAATTATAGTGCAGTTTTCTCATCACTGGAGATAATTCCTTTTCTCTGCGAACCTTTTCCTTGGGTGATAAGAACTTGAAGCCTTTAACTTCACCCAAACAATTTGCGACTCCACAGAGACATTTGAAAGCTCGCGCCATCTCGTACTCAGTAGTGGTGTAATCAAAAGTTATATCCTCTCCTTTCTTAATGTCACGAGTGGCCACCAGTTGCCAAAAGATTTTGTGGTTTTTATCGAAGCCCATGATTTCATCCTCCTTCAGGCGTGGTTCATAAACGAACTTGGCGTTTGGATAGCAGGAGTGGTTAGTGCGTTTTAACGGGCCAACAGGATCCACGTGTTTATTGACATCCACTTGAATGGTGTAGGGCGTGGCTTGACTCACCACTGGTCCCCAGACATCAGCTAGAAACGATCCTGCCAGGATATTTTCTTTGGCTACCAGGGAGAGGAAGCCCTTTGCCACTTCAAAGACTTCAACATTATCGGCCTGCATCTGCAAATAAAATTAAAAAGTGTCCTAGACTTAAAAAGGTCAAGTTTGGAAACAGAGTACAACAACAACAACGATCTTTATTTGCATGACCATAAAAACACATACAGTATTGCAAAAACTATGTTTAGGAATCAAAATTACAACACAGGGCAATTACGTTACTTTGATAATAATTTGTCACGAACATCAAAACAAGCTGAAATATACTTTATGAATTGTATATTGATAAAGTAATTAGAAGAGTTCATCATTTCATTCATCAAACCGTTTATAGGTAACTGGGTAATACTTGGAATCAGAGTCGACTTTATAGTAAAATTTATTCCTAATCATAGAGTATGTAGGACATTGAAAAAGAAAGTGAACTTCGTCTTCTATTACACTGCATCCACAAAAATGGCAATGCCTATTATCCTTCGTAGTTTGGTTGTATCTTCCTGTTTCTATCATTAGTTTGTGATTGCTTATTCGTAGTTTTACTAAAGCACTTCTCCCAGCTGTTCCTCTTGTTAAGTCTAATTAACTAGAGGAGGTATGATCGGTTTTAAAAGATCTATAAAATTCAAGTTTTTGAGAATGTTGAAGGGTGTTTTGCCAATATGAGATATATTCCTGTTTCATTGAACTTACATAGCTTTTTACCATAGCTATATCTAATAAATCAGGGTTAAAGTCAGGAAGCTTAAAGTATTCTGACATATTCATTAAATGAGAGTGGAACCTATTTTTGCCATTACAGTGTAAGTCGAATGACATTTAAAAAGCTTGTTTGACGAGAGATTCCTCATCTTTAGACTGTATATACAAAATGTATTTGAGAATTTTTTGATTGATTAAAACGACCAAGCTCTGCTCTACAAGCTATATTAGAAGCTTTGTCGTTTACCTCTAAGTATCGTTTACAAAATTGAAGGTGTGCCTTCAAAAAGCACCTAACAAGGAGTGGGCAGGGTGAAGTAATTTCCAAACACACTAAGAGACGGCGTTTTCACTGACACGTTTATCATGAGACATGCTTTAGATTACATGCTTTCCGCAAAAATGCGAACTCTCATCTAGTGGCTCTCCTATCTTTCTTGGTTTAGACGTATTCTTTGATTGGCTTTACCGAAAGCACAATTAAATAATAATCTGGGTTGTTTTATCCTACCCCTCTCCCTACTGCCAGAGTTTGCTTTGTAGCAGGAAAAATCAAAGTCGCGTTGAAGGTTTAATGGTCAACACGTACACGAGTTATCATTTGTGTCCGCAACTTGTTCGTTGCATGGGCGTTTTTATATACTTACTGGCTGGATTAAGAGAAGCTGTGGAAAAAATGTTTGCGATCGTAGTATTGCGCTCAGCGTAGGGAAAATAAGAAACTAAACGGGCAAAAAGATCGACTATCGAACGGAGAAAGGGCTTTTCTTTTCAAAATTTCACTGAGAACATGCATGTTCAAAAGACCATAAAGTGGCTCCTGGATTTATCAGTTTGTCTCAGGCCATAATGGTAATAGCTAGTGTGCCACACTTGAAATATATTTGCAGTTGTGCATCAATCTCTTCCATCGGTTAAGCGTCAGTGGAGTCACGGTACCTTTAGGCGGTTTTGCTATTTAAAGATTTTTTTTGCGCCGGGGTGAGGTCGGGGAGTTGTTACAGGCCAAGGCTTGTTTACAACATTAGTTCGAAAGATCTTGCTTACGCTTTCAAGCAAGAAAGAATGGCTTCGTGCTTAGAGAAATATGTAGATGCTCCGTTCCATACTACACCTGGGCAAAGCATAGTATCTAGTTTGAAACTGACCATAAGGCAGTGTTCAAAATGTTCTAAATTACACATTACAAATAACGTCTTGTTATGTATCAGGGGCACCCAACGAGACTATAGTTCAAAACCACTTAAACATAGCATTGTTAAACGTATTTTAGTCTTTAAACGGTAGATGTAGGTATATTTTTATCCCCTAAGAATCTTTCATCTGTTCGGATTTCCTAGCTGAAAGTCTAGTGATTCGAAAATTGTAATTTTAGGCATCAAAACTTACCTTTTCGAAAATTTCAGCCAGAAAAAGGCTTCCGAAAATTCTTGGTGACCTTTTTAGGGTAAAAATCAGTTAAAAATGGGCAATCATATCATTTTTTAAATGTTCGAATGTCCTAGGAGAGCCAGGCAAGCAAGAAATTTTACAACAAATGTTCCGAAAATTCTAGATCTCAAATCGTCTTCCGAACAGATATTTTCCGAAAATTGACGTTGGGTGCCCCTGATGTGTTTGTGAAGAAAAATTTAAAGCCTTACAATCATGCCGTAAAATAAAGAAAACCATTTTCAGATTAGGTTGTGTACAGAACGCCAGAACGCGACTGTTCATTTCTAATATTCGTAAAGTAGAAGATCCGGTTAGCGACACAAGAAAACAAAGTCTAATCTACGTCATAAGTTTGGTGGAACTAGTCAAACTGGTTTGGGGGGCAAACCTATAGCCACCCAATTTCCATACTTATGCCGATAGTCAGTCTAGCAAGCTGCATAAACACGAATAACATGCAGAAAATAAATAATGAGCGGAAAACTGGGCAACTGTATTTATTCTAGACTTTTGAAAGAAAGATGGCCCACTTTGAAACGTTGTTGAGCAAACATCTGTGCAAATGAATGCGTAGAGAAACGTTTAGTCATACGGTTAATGAACTGTTTTGCATAGTGAATACTGAAGATGATTTTTTTACATTCCCGTCTTCCACCTCTGAGAAGCAGTTTTTTTGCTGCTTTCCAACGTAACTTTTCGCCTTTCGAAAATCCCTAAATCAAACTATCGCCATTGAGCGTCGTTGGGCCCATAAAATAGTTTTTAGTGGACACGATACGCAACAAACTCAAAAACCGGATCGACGACACACAGTTTACAGCAAAACTGGTACAAAATCCAACCACACCGGTTCAATTCAGTTTTGAATTTGGCCGGGAGAAGTTCTTCCATCTGTCCATTAGACAATTAGCTATAACCTACCTTATGAAACGTTTGAGGTGTTAAGCACAGTGATACTCTCGTTTGCTGTTAACTGAAAAAAGGAAATATTTATCAAAACTTTGCCTGCTTAGTCAGCCGCTCATGAATACTTTAAATTGCAGTTTCTGTACACGTGCAATCAGGCCAATCAAGATTGGATTACAGGATTGGTTAGTGCGTTTTAACGGGCCAACAGGAACCACGTGTTTATTGACATCTACTTGAATGGTGTAGGGTGTGGCCTGACTTACCATTGGTCCTCAGACATGAGCTAGAAACGATCCTGCCGGGATATTTTCTTTGGCTACTAGTGATAAGAAATCCTTTGTCACTTCAACGAGCTTCGACATTATCTGCTTGCATCGGCAAATAAAATTTTAAAAGTATGCTAGATTTTTTAAAGAGGTCAACTTTGGAAGCATAACCCATGAGGAGTGGGCAGGGTGAAATAATTTCCATACACACTCAGAGACGGCGTTTTCACAGACGCGTTTATCATGAGACACGCTTTATGCTTTCTGTGAAAATGCGAACTCTCATCTAGCGGTTCTCCGATGCTTCTTGGTTTAGACGTACTCGTTGATTGGCAGCACCGAAAGGATTATTAAATAATAATCTGGTTTGTTTAATTTAATCCTAACCCTCTCCCTACTGCATGCCAGGGTTTGCTTTGTGCAAGGAAAAGGTCGCTTTTAGGGTTTAATGCTCTTTAACGGTCAACACGTACATGCAACTTGTGCCGGCAACTTGTTCGTTGCATGGGCGTTTTTATATACTTAATGGCTTGCGTTCAGTATAGGGAAAATTGGAAACCAAACGGGCAGAAAGAACGACTATTGAACGCAGAAAGAGTTTTCCAAACTTTCACTGAGAACAAGCTCAAAGGGCCATTCAGTGGCTCCTGATTTTATCTGTTTAACCCAGGCTATAATGGTAACAGTGGGCCACAATTATATTTGCAAGTGTGTATCAATCACTGCCATCGGTTATGCGTCAGTGGAGTCACGAAGGTCGGGGACTTGTTACAGGCGTGTTTACAACGTTAGTTCAAAAGACTTGTTTACGCTTTCACACGCAAACTAGTAAAGCAAAAATGAATTTTTCGTGCTTTGGGACAGATGCTCCGTCCCACACTACTCCGGGGGAAAGCTTAGAATCTAGTTTGAAACTGGCGATAAGGCAGTGTTCAAAATGTTCGAAATTACACATTACAAGTAACTTCTTGATATGTATTTGTGAAGAAAAATTTAAAGCCGTACAACCATGTCATATAAAGAAAACCATTTTTATATGAGGTTGGGTATAGAACGCCAGAATATGAGTGCTCATTTCTAATATTCGTAAAGTAGAAGATCCGGCTAGCGATGCACGAAAGGAAGTCTAATCTACATCACTAACTAGTCAAACTGGTTTGGGCGGCCAATTTCCATACTTATGCCGATAGTCAGTCTTGCAAGCTGCATAAACACCAATAACATACAGAAAACAAAGTATGAGGGGAAAACTGGAAAACTGTATTTATTCTAGACTTTTGAAAAGAGATGGCGCACTTTGAAGCGTTCTTAAGAAAATACCTGCGCAAATGAATGCTAAAGATTAACTTTTATGAGGTCATACGGTTAATGAACTTTGCACGATGAATATTGAAGAAGATTTCTTTACATTTCTGTCTTTACCACTTAGAAATATTGCTTTTTTTGGCAGCTAGAACGTAACTTTTCACCTTTCGAAAATCCATCTATCAAACTATCGCCATTATAGGTCTTTGAGAGTCGTTGGGCCCATAAAATAGTTTTTAGTGGAGACGTTACGCAACACAAACTCAAGAACCGGATCGACGACACACAGTTTAAAGCAAAACTAGTACAAAATCAAACCCAACCGGTTCAATTCAGTTTCGAATTTGGCCGGAACAAGTTCTTCCATCTGTCCATTGAACAATTAGCTGTACCCACCTTAGGAATGGAATTTTTGCCTCGAAGGTATTTAGTATAGTGATCCTGACT